CTGGGCTGTGGGGAGCGGGCCCCTGGGCGCCGGCGGGGTCCCCAGGGCGGTGGTCGCTTGCAGCTGTAGCGCCAGCGGTATTGCCAGCCCCGAGGGGTACGCCGGTGTCTTGTGCATTAACCGAAGGGGAAGCTATCGCTTCGCACCAAGTGCAGGGGGGGCTGGCGGTGGAACTACTGAAATTCCAGGGTCGGCGCAGAGAGCAGGTGGAGGTGCAACGGCAGCAAAATCGGATCCTAGCCACAGGGTTCAGGGTGCTTGACGTGTAGGTCGTCACTGTGACCTGGATTAGTAGTGACCAAATATCTGATGACAGCTGCTTTGCTGACGCACTAGTCCCAAATCGCCATGTGACCCTTATTTACTCCCTCTAGCGCTGACCTATGAGGTGGCTGACTGAAGAGCTCTCTCACAGGCAGCTCATCCTCCAGCGTCACGGACGGGCTGGGAAAAGCCTGCGCACCTTTCCTCTCTGCTGGAGAGGGAACTTTGATCTCCGGTGCTGCCTGCCTTTTCCCCCAAATGCCAAGTCCACTTCACTAAAGGCAGGGTTTGCATAATGCATTGAAGAATGGAGTTAATGTCAGCAAAGGACTTCCTGACATCCTAAATCTTGGTCAGGAGCAGCAGGACCACGTAGCGATAAAACAATGATACAGAAGATTATAGCCTTAACACTTACGTATAACTCCTCAATCCAATTTTTATATGCATATGTTTCTATGCACACACAAATATGTATTTTTTCCCATGTGAAGAAGGATACATTCTTAAAAAGAAATTCATATTTTAATGGTTAATAGGCAGAGGAGAAGACTTTAGCTTATCATCAGATTTTTTTTTGAACTTTATCTCATTTTTGTCTTCCTAGTCATTTTATCTGTTATCCCTGCTTACTGTTCTACTTCCACAGTACTTTCTGTTTTATTTTATTGCTCCCTGTTTTATTGTTTTATTGGGAGAGTTACTCTGTTATTGCTCCATCGGATATATTAGGTTTTACCACAGTGATTGGATGTTGGCATATGAAATGTGAAATGAAGCAAAATGAAGACATCTAATAAGAATAAATGTAACCATTTTGATTTTTCCTGAGCTTGCCAGAAGTTGAAAATTTGAGAATAGATGTTGTGGTTTGCTTTTGACTGTTTTAACTTTGCCTGCAAGTTGCAGATGACTCACAGAAGTAAAAATATCCCACAAATTTGTTTAAATTATGGAGCATGTGTATGATAGCTTTTGTTTTGTTTCATGTTCTTCCTGAAGCTACTAATCAATGGGAAGCAAGAATCTCAAGATTAACACTTCGCAATAAAATCTGAGTCAAGAAAGTCCTCCACACTAGGCAGTTATTTTAGTTTATAAGGTCACTATTTCTCACTGTTGAGATACTTCATTTTTATTCTGCTGGTGTGCTGAATGTAAGTAACTTGAATAACCTTTGTGAGCAGTCATATTACACACTCTACTCTGAATAGGGGAAAAGTCCACTAGGAATAATTCCCATTGTTTGCCTTCTTTTTCTTTACAGCAACTTGTTTTTTCATGGTTTTCCTGGTAGTTATATGCAGTAAGGGATGAACAAAAATCTTACATGTTCAGTTTAGCTCTTAACAAACAGTACCATTGTAGTCGCAGGGAGTATGGGAAGCGTGTTGCCTGCCCCAATTATTAAAAGGGCAAGGCTCCAGTAACACAAAACCTGGATGCTTTTCAAAACAAAACAAACTTCTACAAGAATTCTATGCATCAGCAGCGCAACGATTAACGGAGTTTTATTACTCCAGTGAGCTTCTGGAAGAAGTGTGTCTCCTTCATAATGCAGATTTGCTTCTCACTGTGTGTATGATGAGTTATACATTACAGTAGGTTCTGAACAATATAACTTTCCATTCCTGTAAACATAAATGATATATCTGGGAAATAATTGTTAAGGATGTCCTGAAGATTGGCCAAGACAGCTAAGTTTTAGGCACAAAAGTAACAATGTATCAGGATTCATTGTCAGCCAAGCTGCATGCAGGCTGTGAAAATTGTAACCGCTTCAAGTAACTCCACAATCTATCCTGACTGCAGTACTGTTTGTTCTCACTTTACTTCCTCTCCAAACCACCATTTTCCCCCTCCTCCTGAAGCCCCAGTGCACGTGACAGTTATAAGCGCAGGTGTCGGAGAACAGCATTTTGATGGTGAAGGACAGTGCCAGATTCTGAACTGCAGCATTCGTCAGATGGGGTCTCATTTCTGGTGCTTTAATATTTTAACTTTCCTCTTCTGAACTGCCCTGGGGCAAGTTTTGAAAAGGCAGTAACAACGCTTTCAGTTGCTCAGTCACAGCAGTGTTTTGCCAACTATCCTTAATAAAACGGAGCTGTGTTAACATTCTGCTTTTTTGCACAACAGCGGGGTCCAGAAGAGTGGAATGAATGAAGCCTGGATTCCTGTCCATTTGTCCCCTAAATGCTATCCATCGCAATCGGCTCTCTCCCTCCTCGATGTTCCTTATGTCCTCCCCACTGCCAGAGACACAACATGCTGTACTTAGGTCAGAGCCGTGTTCTGTTCCTGGCTAGCCAGACTACATGACAACTGGCCATGTTGCTGACGTCTAATAGAAGGTGTCTTGGCCGATTTTGCCCTACCTTTTCCTCCGTGGGGACACAAATTTGAGGCTCTTCTTCCTAACCCACCTGCCAACTAATGCTGGAGACACAGTATGCTGTGCTGGGGTGGGTGCCCTCTCCTGACCAGCCAGAATATGTGTGACGACAACCGGCGGGGTTGCTGCTCTCTAGTTGAGTCTTGGCTGAGCTTCCCCTCCATTTTCCTCAGTGTCGACCAAAATTTGAATCTATCCTCCCTAACATCTGCCAGTTTGCACAAAGTTTGTAGGAAGCTGATTATCTATTCAAATGTGGTTGAAATGGTTAGGAGGGATGGTTTGGCAAATAGGTGAACAGGCAACATTATTGAAGTTTTTTCCCTTAGGACACCAGACTAACATTTCCTACTAGGGACAAAGGCAGCTTCTAATTCAGCTTCTGTAAGGAAGGTAACGATGACCCAGGAGGAGCAGTAAGTCAGGGTGGAAGTTAACGGTAACACTAGAAAATTTTGAATGTAAGCGGAAGGAATGGTCTGATGACTGAAGGGCACGAGCTGTATTCGCAGCACTTCGTGAAATTTCCAGCAGTACCTTGGGCAAAGCGTTCACCCTCCACCTGCAGATGGGTCTGCCTTTATATAATTAGATTGATATTTTAATCCGCTAACACATTTGTTTTCTAAATATTTATGTGTCCTTTCACATGGAAAAAAAGGACAGAAATAGCATTACAAACAAGGGTCATATCTTCCTGTTCTCATCTTTCTATCACCCAACGCTGCAGCCGCAGGAGCTGTCGAGC